GTGACAATACATGGACCAATACCTAAGTTTTGATAACATAATTAACATAGGTCTATTTTGTTTCGTACAATAATAAAACATATAATAAACTACTTAAAAATTAAATAACAATGACTATCATAGAATCAAGCAGTTATTGAATACCCCGAAAATATAATACCCGATATAGCGAGGGTCATTGAATTATGAATGTGGTGGGAACCATCACCACATCCACGAATTGGTATGTCCCGGAGGTATGTACCATGGGGTATTCAATAATTTTCCCATAGAATCGGTCCATACTGATGGACTTTTGGCTTTTATGGTGGAGGCTTTCACGTGAATTTCATGTGAATTCAAGTTGATATGACTTGGAGTGACTTTTTTTTATTCAAATTTAAGTACGATAATTGCCATTTGTGATGCCAGCTGCGAATTGAAAAGATGGCCCTTCTTCTAGCTTAGGAGACAGTTGACCTTTCTTTTATTAAAAAAATAAAAATAAAAAATATCTGGCAAAGTAAGTGAGAAAAATCAAACACATATTCGGAAAGTTAAACAGAGATTAATTCGATTACTGAATAATGCTTTACCGTTAATTTTCATACAAATTATAATATATAAACAGAATATAATATATATTCGGAAAGTTAAACAGAGATTAATTCGATTACTGAATAATGCTTTACCGTTAATTTTCATACAAATTATAATATATAAACAGAATATAATATATTGATTCTTTATAATGTTACACGTGTTATATTATAATGAATAAATTTCTAACTTATGAACCTGTGTTTGCGCTGAAATTTTAACCCACGCGAAAAATGAAATGAAAAGTAAAAGTCTGCACCTAATGAATTATTTCGTCGAAATAAATAAATAAAAGTTTTAATTACCTGACTATTAATCCTTAATCAGGTAAAATAATGAGGTAACAACTAGCAACCCTAATTAAATGCTCAGTAGGTCGGTCAGTAGCCTTTATTCCACCAGCTGGTTGGTTCAGTTATCAATTATATATATACCTTAATACAGACATACATACATATTGTCTCTATACTCACCAACCTAAGAAAATTAAGCAAGTAGGTCCATTTCTCTTGTTCTTTAAATTATGCTTCCAAGCTGGTCTTTCTAAGAATTAGACGTTTCATGTGTGAAATGAACTTTGTCATCCATGTTGAACAAGAGGACTTGGTCCTATGACTATTCTATGTAGACTTGCTTCATCTTAGACTAGTCATCATTCACTCCTATGACTCTTCTATGTTGACTTGCTTCATCTTAGAATAATCAGCATGAACGAGAGAGAGAGATGGCCCTATAAAATATAGGAACAAGGTGCTGGGATAGTCATCAGAAGACGAGGAGGAAAGAAGTGAGAAGTTGAGGGACTCTTGTCGCATGAGAGATGGCACTTGCTGTTGTTTCAAAACATGAAGCAAAGTGCCATATCCTGTGACAAGATTCCCTACAATTTCTTTGCTTATATAAATAATTAATTTAGTATTTAAAATTTTTATTATTACGAAATTGAAGAGCGTCAGTTGTACGTAATCTTCTACAGGTAAGATTGTTTCTATTTCAAACTCGTTTTCAATATTACAATGGAGCAATTTCTTTACTTTTGCGTGCGTGTGCGCACACACACACATAATTGCATTTTTATTTATGTGTTTTCCATCTTCGCAGCATTATATTCATTTGTATACATGCTTATACATTTATTTTTGTTTATATGCGTATATATATGGTGACAGAACATTATTTCATCAACTAGGAAATTGTTTACAATTCATTGACTTAGTCAAGGGCATGTCTATTTCAAACAGTCAATTGCTATAGCACTGTCAAGGTGCCTCGTTCTCAATGCTAATTAACTTGAATAATTGAAAGTCCAATGTAGCACTACCATCTGATGACTAGTATATAATATATATGATTGGTTATATGTAATTCCATATTTTATTATTATTAATTAATTTTTTTTAATCTCATTAATTATCAAGTTCATTTCATCTGCATGATGTCAATGAATGACATAGGAGGACTAGATCAAAGACTTTAATTATAATAGATTAAAAGGTTCTCACCAGCTGTATTTGCACTGACAACCTATATATATAAACAAAATATTATATATATATATATATATATATATATATATATATATATATATATTAGGGTTTTTTAGCAAGGAAAATACTTATATAGTTTAGAGCTGACAAAAGAATTTATTGATATGGTTTATTTAGGTTGTATATAATAAAAGAATTTATTGATCTGGTTTGTTTGGAGACAATCATGTGCACTACAATTCCATATAATTAAAGAAGCGAAGAATCGGCCGTTCAATTTGCTTCATGCCATTCACATACTTCTATATATCTATCTACTTCTATATATCTATCTACTTTTCTGTGTGTGTGTGTGTATAAACAAGTTGAAGTGATGACAAGATCAAGGTGTAATATTTATATAGAGAGAGAAAAGCACTTCTCTCACAGAAATGCAATGGCAGATACAAAGAAATATAAGGGACTTCTGTCGCAGGAGAGATGGTGCCAATTGCTATGGTTTTATGTAACACTCGAGCATTTTGGCATCATCTCTCCTAGACAGAAACCTCTTCAATTTCTCCGGAGACTTCAGTGTTTTCATTGCCGTGGTGAGTGGATCAGGTGCTGGTTACACGTGTGAGTGATGTGAATCATCGGATGCAGTACAATATTAGAGGATCCAGACTCCATTGTCGTGAAGAGGTAAGCATTTCCAATTTTCAATGGCTTAACTTCACCTACTTTATTTTTAAAAAAAACCATTTCATCTTAGCCTTTTGTCCTTCCAAACTCACAACTTTTTGGCTATAAATTACTTTGGTTGATTGAACGGTCTTATTGGCTCTAAATATCATAAATTCTCGTGTGAGTGATGTGAACCATCGAATGCATTACAATATTAGAGGATCCAGACTCCAATACCGTGAAGAGGTAAGCATTTCCAATTTTCGATGGCTTAACTTCACCTACTTTATAATTTAAAAAACCATTTCATCTTAGCCTTAATTTTGTCCTTCCAAACTCACAATTTTTTTGCTATAAATTACTTTGGTTGATTGAATGGTCTTATTGGCTGTAAATGTCATAGATTCTACAAGAAAGGGGGAAAAATTTGGAACACTTGCATATGACACATCTCTTCTACTTCTATCTTCCGATCACATAACAGAATCTGAATCACAGAATTATTCGTTGCCTACTGAAGTTGCACTACCTACTAACAACAACGATAAGTCTTTTTTCCAACTATAAATAGGCTATATGAATATATCCTGTGTTTCCATTCCCGCCATGAATCCTATGTTTACATTAGTTCATCCACGGACCATCATATCCTTCCTTACTAACTATTCCTCACAACTCTTCAATAGCCGATGAATTTAACATCAGTGAGAAGAGTTAACAATTCTAGTGATCTTGCATGAACTAATTACCAAATTCAGTTCCGTCCATCCAGTAATCATTCTCAATGTATATTCTTACAGCACAATACATACACACACATATAATGTTCAAACATGTCTTTGTCTTCCCCAGCTCAACTTCATTTACAAAATTATGACCTTAAAATGAGCTAGCATGAAGTCTTTTAACTTCCACTTAATACGAATTACTTTGCGCTTTTAAGATCATATTCTTAGCTATAAGTGCGGCCTGAATTTTTGTATCTGTTAAACACACACACACATATTGGTAGGTAATCTCGCAGACTTATATATCAGTAGGAGCATGCAAAACACTAGAACACATTTGCTTACATGTCAACTGGTGATTCATCAGCACGATAGGGTTCGGAAAGGGCGGGCTCGGCGGCAAGGGTGGCCGGATCTACGTCGTCACCGACTCCTCCGACCACAATGCGGCGAACCCAACTCCAGGACCCTCCGGCACGCCGTGATCCAGACGGAACCCCTCTGCATCGTCTTCTCCACCAACATGCTCATCAATATATGTAGTAGAGAGAAAAGGTTGAGTACGAAATTTATGAGAGAGATTAACAACAAAAAAAAATGGGGAGATATAAATAAATATTGTGGCATTTACATAAATATTTGTATATTTGATTCATGTGATTATGTTAGTATTGTGTATTTGCTTCATCTGCGGGTTCTAGGGTTTGAATTTTGAATAATTACTTATCCGTCTTTTTATCTTCCTAATTTGAATGAATGCTTGTTTATCATATAAATATTAGATGTTTGTTGCTCTCTCAAACTGAAATTTATTTGATACATAAAAGAAAATATACACGAATGTGTCTTTCCCTCAAGCTTTAATTCCTTTCATAGAATGAACAATATTTGCATACACAAACAGATATATGTATAATTGAGGGTATGTATACACGCATCTGTTTTTAGTTTTTGAATTATTATAACATGAGCACTGGTTGAGAAATTGTCAGAAGAGCGTTTTTGAGACGATTTGATTTACAGAACAAAGCAGTGTAATCAGAGATGATTTTAGAAAGAGAAAGTGATAGATATGGATTATTCATTATTCATGTGGATCGATCATTGTTCATTGGGTTATTGTAACCCCGCCTCTCCCTGATTAATTAACAAATTCTGAATTTAATACAACTTAAGTTAGTTAGGGTAAAATTGGTATTTCACAATTAGTTTTTTTTTTAATATAATTTAATAAGTAATGTTATTTTGTCATTTCAAATCAACAGAAGCCGGAAAACTAATCCGGTGAGTCTCAAGGGTTTATTTGCAACCTTTTGTAGTTTAGGAAGGAATCTCAAGGGTTTATTTGCAACCTTTTGTAGTTTAGGAAGGAATTTGCAACAAAGTGAATATCTCAGGAATTTTTTTACACTTTTGCCAAGAAAATACGATTCAGCAACTTAGCCAGATGTTATGTCACTCACAGCAAGTATGGAAATTTAATTTAGATTGCCCACAGAAAATACAATATGATAAAATGACCAGACCAGTACAGATGTGCTTTGAATAATATACACCTGCGTTATATGCATATTGGAAAACATAAACATAATCATTTATACCACATTAAATGAAACTATCACCAAACATTAGGTATAAATTTCCTCCGGTTTTCCTCTTTCCCTAACTTTCACCCAACCAGCGTGTTCTTTCATCAGCACCTGTCCACGACGAGCTTTGACGCCAAATGAGGAATGGCGAGTCCTGGCGGATACACAGTAAAAGGTAAGTGTAACAAGGGCTACAGGCACACAACTTAAATCAGCAGCACGTATCACATGTTATTGCAGCAGCAAATCTCCCAGTTCTGTGTTTCATTTCTATCTCTGCCAAATCCATCTCATTGCCGCAAATGGGAGATCATGCAAGTCCTCATTGCTCTTTTCCTAACAAAAAGAATTAACCTAATCCCGACTTTGGCAAGAGAAATTGCCTTCTGAAACATATTTCTGCTATTTGCACTGCCTTGGCCGGAAATTATAAAATGATAAGAGAGAGCCGATCAAAATTTCCAGCCTTTTTGCACCAGCTGTAGGCCGGAGGACTGTGATGTCACCCACAAGAGCGCATGGGTCGGTCCCGTTTTCCATGCTTCCTGTGCACCACCCACCGGGAACAACCATGTCTTGACCTCTAAACAAGAGTTCAGAATCAATCTGGTCGAGAACTGGATCATCTTGGTGGAACTTCCTCGCAAATGGGGCATTACTGTCAACCATCTTTGACATGTCATCAATGGTGAGGTAGTGGGGATGCTGCTTGGGAGGATTATCCCAAGATATGAAGTGGAGATCGCTGTTCACAGTGGTATTACTGAACTCTCTAGAATTACACATGACAGTATGAAAATAGCCTTCTGGTGAAGAGATGAAATTGGCATAGTACATGAGGACCGTTCGTGGCAAGTTGTCCCATCCCCATATGCAGAAATCAATGAACTGCCGAGAAAGAACCATCCAAGCAGATCCTATAAAATAAGGCAGAAATTTGGTTTCAATAATCTATAATATCATGCCCAATGCATTTCAAGAGTGCTTGGTATTTAACCCCTCAAGCCAATACATGATATATATATACATATTGTTTGCACGAGCTTTTCAAATGTCATTCAGCACAAGAACTATTATTGGCATTGTACATAAAACACAATATTATAAATAAACTCATGCATAGCACCCAGAGAGATGAAAAAATAGTTTTTTTTTTAAAGGTGAGATGAAAAAATAGTTGAGCAATGAATCATAAAAAATCAAGGGGAAGTGTCAATCAGAAATTATCTCAAAGTACTCTATGATTACAAAAATTTATGTGATGATACCAGAAAGTTTCTCTTGTATAAGTCCTTAATTAACCTAGCAAGAGAGAGAATTATCAGAGAGGGGAAGTGAATCCTCTTTTATTCCACCCTTAATTCCTTGTTCCAACATGAAAATAAGATTAAAAAAAAAAAAAAAACAATTATTTAAGGTGAAATTAGTTCATGTTGCAGTCACTAACATCAAAGCAAAGCACTTGCTTAAAAACAGATGGACGTTTATTAATTGGTTACGTAAAAGGTCTTTCAATAGAATTGACAAATTTACCAGAATCATCAATACAGCAGTACAGAGGATGAGAGGTATACTGTAATCTTAGAATCATTTAGGTTGCATTTGGTTAAGTCAACTTTCCAATTGCGCAATCTTGACGTCTGCATAACAAGCATTTCACTGTTTGGATTGATTATGTAAATCAAAGGAATTTTTTTTTTTTTTTTTTTTTTTTTTTTGATGAGTGTAAATCAAAGGAATTTGAATTAAGAATTTAAGCATCAGGCACGGTAAAGAGGGTGGAGAGAGAGAGAGAGAGCTGCAACAAAATGACCTTAATGACAGAAAATAGTGAGATAAAAATTTGCAGCTATTCTACCATACAACCTTGAAGACAAGTGATCAATCATTGTGTAATTGGGCGCAAAGGCATGCAACAAAAGTATTAAAGCATAGCAATACCCCTGCATTTATATATTTATCTTTTGCATATTTGTTTCTAATCAATATTTTATCCCATGTAGATTTAGAATATATTTTACAGAGTCAGTGTCCTATGTATAACTTAGGAGAGAAATCATTCCTCCCTTCCTCATTTATTTGACTAATATATTGAATAAAATCCCCTCAATACTTCCTTCCAGCAAGCACATCCTGTCTGCAAGAAGCTTTCATTTCATCTCTGGCCACTGATGATAAATATTGTGACCACCTATTCCAACATATGATGACAAAAAAAAACCACTTTACACAGTCGACACAGGAGTAATTGAAACCAATGACCCTTCCCTTTAATAATATATATCATGCCATGACAATAATGCAGTTACCACACACATGTATAGACCACTTCGTACGATCACAGAACTAACTGAAACCAACAACTCCAGGAATATATATGGTTGCCATGACGAAAATGCAGTTCACATGTATGGCATATAATCTAGCTATGGCATCATGCCCTTTTCTTATTAGGTAAAAGCATTCAGTGCCTTCAGATCCATCCTCATCTCAGGAATTTTCTTTTGAGTAGACTTCAATTATCAGCGGTGAAAACATCAAAACCAAATAAATAGTAACAATGCTAACAGTACTAGCTGGATATGAACAACAAACTCTAATTTCTTACCTAGAAAGAATTTCTTGTTGTTAAAAGAACAAATTTCAAACCCTGATTTGCATCAGTTGTAAGAGGTGTGTTAGATGAATTTGGTAACATATGCTGGGTGCCAAAAAATACATCGGTGTCTAATTTGTAACCTCTTATTGTTAGGATATGGGTCAGACATCAACAAAATTCAATTTTCTTTTACTACATCCTGAGATGATGTGAAGTGTTTGTATAATTTGTCATGTCCCATCCAGAAGCTAAACATATTTTAACTTACGTACGCATGCAACAAAAGGTTAAAAAGAAAGAAGAAGAATTGAAGGGAAATTCTCCCAAACAAAAACTTCCATATCTTCCGTTTGTCAAACAGGCCTGTTAAGTACATGTCCAACACATCTTACAGCCATTCCTCTCAAAATGGGGTGATTTTTAAATATCAATGTAACATAAGGAGATGCCAACAAGAACCATTTTCATCCAAAGGAAGGTGGAATTAATCAGCATATGCGTCAAGAAATTGTTTTAAATTAGAAAAATTATGACATTCTCTTTTAGAAGAGTCCGTTCCATCCTTTAATCTGTCCCTTAACCTAGACCCTCTATGACGGATTCATCAAGTTATCTTGCCCCTTGTATCGAAGATTGACAGATATGATTACGATAGGAAAGGAATTGGTTGGTAAGGCGAGTCTTATCAGCCCTGATCTGGTCGGTTTCTTCCTCCCCAAGAAGGTAGCTGCAAATTGTTATATCCATCCGAATTGAGTATGGAATCAGCCAGAGTTGACAACTGTCTCTATATTGTTATGCAACTATAGGACTGAAAATGCTTCAAGGGATAGTGTTTGGAAATTTTAAAACAAAGTGTTCATAAAAGGAATATAGGAGGATAATCGATTCTGAGATGGATAGTGAAATACCCAACAAATGCATTTCTTATAAGTTGAAGTTGAAGGCAGGACCAACTATGAGAACATGACAAAACAGGAATTTAATTATTTAAACGTGAATGTGAAGATGAATAATTCAGTCATGACTGAAAAATTTTCGGTAGATGTAAGGACAAGACATTTAATCAGTGAGAAAGGAATTGATGTAATGAAAAAGAACATGTTATTCAATGATATTTTGGAAAAGATGGCCCCGGGTAAAGCAGATCAACGGGATAACATTTATACAGCCAACTCCAAAAAGCTGGGGACAAGGCTTCAATTACTTGACTTCTAATTGTCCTCAAGCTCTTTAATTGTAAAGGCAGTTCTTTTTAGGATTGAGTTGTAGTAATCCCATAACAAGAACTATTTTCTATAATCTATATATCATGTGAAATTCATGTAATGTGAGTTTGAAAATTCTGAGCAGGATCTGGCTTTGGGTGGCTCAACCAATAGAGTTCAAATACCAATAGTTTCATTTGCCACTACAACTTAGGGACTTGGTTCTTCAAATAAAACCAAAGATAATTTGGATTCTTTGTTTATTTCATTTAGAGCTATCTATAGCTCGAGATGTGCCAATACAGAGAGGGTATAAATATGACAAATTTATTATTTCACCCTTCAATAATCTAGTAGACAAGAACTAGTCCTACACACGGAAGCCCAAGTTAAATAGACATTTTCTGGCTTCTGTGCCTTTTTATACTTGAGCTTTCCAGTGCCCTATTCGAAAGGAAACTTTATTGATGACCCACCAATTTGACTTTCTTGTTATTTCTAGCACATCTCACCTCACTTAATATTACTTATCAGTAAAGGTTGTAGCCCAATGGTTTCTCCTCCACCTCCCAATGGAAGGTTGAAGTCCATGTAGGGGCAAAGTTGGTATGGAGAAATATATTGAAGTCCTTATCAAAGCTACAAGACACCATGGAAGTAAATTTCACTTCCGTGAGATGTCCAACTGCCTTGCAGGTGTGGTGCTAGTCCAGCGGTAGGGCATGTATTGTTTGGGGCCTTTGGCCTGTGTTTGAAACCCACCAGCATCTTTCCCCTCCCCCTTTAACCTCTAACTCCCTAACCCCACTAACCATGCCAAGTCCAAACAAAAAAAAAAAAAAAAAGATGTCCAATTGCCTTTTAAGACAACTAAACCGAATTATCTAAAAAAAAAAAAAATCATGGGATGATAAAATCATATCTTAATAACAGAAGCCATTTGAGCAGAGCACATATACCATAAATGACATGCTCGCACAAACAACCCAATGCCTAAAATCAATCCTACAGAGTGGAAAATGACATCTTTCTTTTTCTGTTCTTTTTTCACCTGAATGAAAAGGGGACATCTTTAAAGCCCAAAGCAATAAATAAATAAGTAACTTAATGCCAAATTGAACCTGTAAAGAGTTTGAAGGCAGTTGGCACACTTCTTCGCTGTGTAATCCAGAAAACATCAGACTTCTTGGTCATATACAACCCAGGATCGATTATAATTGGTTTCGCCCTCTGAAACCTACATAAATAGAAGCATACAATCAATATATATATATATATATATATATATAGATAACTCTCCAACCCAAAAATAGAATAAAGAAAGTTTGAATATGAGAAAAATCACTTACTCTTTCCACCCAATATCACTGGTATGGTCAATGAAATTAAGATCGCGCGGCAAATACGAGAACGCGTGAAGCAGATCTAATCAACGAAAACCCAATAACCAAATCAATCAATTCATCAACCATAAAGCATAAAACAATCAAATCAAATCAAACCCATAAATCTGAAATTCCAAAACAGAGGAATCAATTTCGGACCCACCCACCATCTTGAGTGACAAGAGGATAATCCGAGGCGCTAAGATTGATAAACCAATCCCAATCCCCACCGTCCTTCAACAAGATCGCCGCCGCGTGCAGCGTATTGGCCACCATTGTCGGCCCACGGTAGGTAACAAGATTCGCCTTTGTGATCATCACCACATTCCCAAATTTGCTCAATGTGGGATGATTGTTGACAAAGTTTTGCAGATCTAACCTCTCTTGTGCAGAAGATTCGGCATCGAGATGGACGACGTAGCGGTTGTTGGGGTGATATAGGGCTAGGAGAGTGCGCTTGAGCATTCTGCCGTCGCCGGCGGAGCCGGAGATGAGGTAGGCGAAGCGGGGCGGCGGAGGGAGGTAGGAGATGGATAGTGGCTTGAGCTTGGATTCGACGAAGATGGAGTAGTCGGTGTAGCCGGTGGCGTAGCGGTAGAGAGGGAGGAGAGGTGTGCCGTCCGGCGAAGTTAGGGTTGAGAGGAAGAGGAGGAAGAGAGAGACAATGGAGCCAATGGCTAGTGGGAAGATCCATTTGCGTTCCATTGTTTGGGGTGGTCTTAGTTGCAGGTAGTAGTTCTTCAATCTTTTCATTGCATCAAAATCTCTCTCTATATATATAGGTTATGTGTGTATATATATATATATGTCTAGAGAGAGAGTTAACCGAATAAGTGTGAGCTTCGAGTTGAGTGAGAGAGAACTGATCTGGGTCTGTGAGGAGAAGAGAAAATGAGAGGGAGACTGAAGAAAATTTGTTCAAATGGTGGGTGAGTTTGGGCTTTCTCTCTCTCTCTCTCTACAAAACACAGGTGGTGCAGTTCGGTGAAAATGGTGTTTTCATGTTGGCCTTTGGATCAAGTGTACGTGTCTGACGGGATTGTGTTCAAAAACCGAGCTCTTGACTAATGAAATAAATAAATAATTATTATTTAAGTAGAGTGATTCAATACATGCTCATGTGTGTTAGGTTCATATTAAGTATTTTTGTTTTTCGGGAAAGGCTTAGTTTATCTATTTATTCAAATTTGGACAATCTTTGAACCATTCATTAAACAAATAGTCATGTCCAAAGAATGATAGGTTGGGTACACATGTATCAATAATATATAAATATATATATTCAAACGGAAAACATTATTGATACATGTGTACCCTATATATATATATATATGGCTTTTAAGTAGAGTGGATTTAATGGTATGATTAATGCATAGAGTGATTTAATGGCATGATTAATGCAATGCACAAATGTGAATGTATTAGGATCATTAAAGCTTGATTTATTCATTTATTAAATTTTGCACAATCTTGGAACCATTCATTAAACAAATGGTCATTTTTAAAGAGTGATGGTAAACTATATCAATAATGTTTTTTCATTTTAAAATATATATACCTATTTATTAATATTGAGAGTAATAAAATATAATAAATATGTTTATGAACACACTAGTTGAAATATTAAGTTTTATGAGCCTGTGATTTGAAAAATGTAATATAACAAAAACGAGATAATAAATGCATTCATTCTTTTTAGGATACTAAAATGTGATATGATTAGCCAACATAATTTGAAAATAACATGAAGTTTATGTGTTTAAAATTGTGTTAACTCGTTTAACCCGTTTTGTGGCGTGTTCATGTTTTTGCCGGTCAACTCGTTTTACTTGATTAAATTCATTTAAATAATTATGTTATAATTGTATTAGGTTAATTTGATTAACCCGTAACTTGTTTTAATTCAGTTAATATGGACATTTTTATTATTTTCATATAAATTCAATATAACTATTGTATTTGGACTTTTTTCTAATTGTATTGTCTAAAATTATACTCATTTTTATGAATTTTGTTTTCTATTATTTCAAAATTTTCATTGTATTTTTATTTTTTATGTTTTAATTAATAAATGGGCAACATGAATAATTCAAATAAAACGTGTTAGGTAGGTAATTCATTTAATAAATAAGTAATGTTCATTTAAAAAAAAATTGACATAATTATTAAACAGGATCATATTTGGATTGACCTATTTAACATAATACTCGTATGTCAACGGAACATGACAGATTATAATTTATAAATACAAATTGTAAATCATAATTTTCATATATATATATTTAATATAAATGAATAAGCAGAGTTGAGTTTATGGTGAACTCTAGTGCAGACAATTAAGGCTCAAAAATAAAGAAATGAAGCATGCTGGTGTGAAGTTCAGTTTCATCATTGACAGCTACTTATTATCAAACTTTTATGACTCTCGTGACCTACATTTTTATATTTATTTATTCTTAATGATCTTACTTAAAAAGTCATAATCAAAATTAGTAGGTCCCAAAAGAGAAGCATTTAAATAAGTGAGCCCAACTGCCGAGTTGAAAAATCACTTACTCTTTCCAATTATTTTTTCTACTCTCTGTTTATTTCAATATAAAATATATTTTTCAAATTTTTTTTTTCTTTTTTAGGTAGAATATTTTTTTTAATTTTTATTTTTAGGTATTTAGAAAGGTCTAAGTTGAGGTTAATGTCGAATCCATTGGATCACGTAAAATAGTTTATAAAAAATTAATGAATAAATTATTTTTGTTAAATTTTAATATTTTTTTTTTACGCTCAAACAAATAAAATAAAATTATTTTCAAGTTCTTAAATTCTTCCTTTCATGTTATGTTTTTGAAGCAATTAATACAGTAATTTTTTTTTTAATTTTTATTAATGTAACAAATGTTAAACTAAACGCCAAGAACTTACGAATGATTGTAAGAAGTCGGAATATTATAACTGAAAATCAAACTTTAGAAGAAAGGTACCTCTCAAAAACAATGCAATAAAAGGTGAAGTTTCTTGTTCTACCAAGCTTCTAGTTTCGTCTACTTACTCGATATTGCAGCTGTGGGGCAGGCTGCCGTATCCCTAGTTTGGTGTTTCAGGGTGGGGTCCGTAAGGGTCATGTCTCGGAGGGTTCTGGGTTATCAAAAATAAATAAATAAAAAATAAAAAAATAATAAAAAAAACTCTATTACTGTAAACGCCTATTTTACATCTACTTTGATTTTGTGTTTTTTTCTTGCAACTTTTATATTTGATAAAGTTTGTTACTATTTAAATTATTATCAAAATATTTTTTAAAAAAAAACTAAAATCAAAAGCAACGAATTAATGTTTATGATTACTTTCAAATTGTCGCCAAAAACATTATAACAATGAAAAGTACAAAAAAAAAATATTGCTTTGATATGTTTAACTAATCATTTTATTTTTTAAATTTGCAATGTGTTATTTTTATTTTTTTTGCTTCTAAAACATAAACATTGTTTCGATATTCTGTTTCAGGTCAAAACAAAAGCAAAATATAATTATCTAGAGTTGCTGTGACAATATCAAATACGTATTTGATACAAAAAACTATAATTAAGAAAAGCTATATTTCATAAATATTTTTATTAAAAGGAGGGTATAATAATAATAATAATAATAATAATAATTTTTTATTTAAAAAATAAATAAAACAAAAAAGACAAAAGTCTAAAATCAATACTACTAATTGACATGATAAAGAATTCAGAGAAAAAGAAGAAGAATTCCGTCTATTGATTGGGATGTATTAATTTGAGTTATTCAAGTTTCAGGTTAGAGATTTTCATTCTGTGTTTTATCTAATTGATATTTTATATATTTACATTCATCATGTTTTAGAAAACTAATAAAAATTTAAAAAAATTTATCTATAAATATTTAAAAAAATTATTATATCTTATCATAACCATATTTAATTTAGAAATTTATTGTATCATCGTATTTGTGCTGTATGGTATTAATATCCTATCTTTTTATATTTTTTTTAATAAAATTTTACAAATTTGAGTTTTTATTGGAGTCTATAATAATAAAAATAACAAGAAGATACATTGATACAACCACCAATGCGACACTCGGCTCCTTGTGGCGGTCACAAAGGCGGCTATGACTGTCGCAGATTGAGAATGTCGGTCAAAATACAGTACGTATTAATATATATATATATATATATATATATATATATATATATATATATATTGTTGTTTTTTGTTTTAATCAATTCAACTTGAATACAATTTTTTATTTTAAAATTATTATATTCAATTAATGAAGTATTGGACGCGTTAATATTTCATGAATCCAATACGAAAACAACTACCATATCAAATTATTCTCACCTTACAGTTAAAGGTTACACCAGCAGCCCCGTACGTGGTCATAGAATATGTATCACAAACTCTTATTAAATAGGTAAGATGTTGAAATATGAAATTGCTGAAAGAAAAAACTAAAATGAAATACTGAGAATAAAGGGCAACTCATGACACTGCTGAAGCTGAAGCCATGCAGCATAACACCTGATTTCTTATGTCTTCCATATATATATATATATATATATAATAACAACTAAAATAGTGTATACCTACATTTACAGGCGAACTGTCTATGATCACATGCTTGTGGAGCGACCAATAACCTTGCTAGATACATTTGATTCTCTCCCGACCTCGACAGGAGTGTCGTGCACTTGGGGAAAGTGACCCCGTTGTTCCTATATTGATATTGCATCATGGTTTGAATGATAATGTAGATTAGACTTCATTTGCTTCAACATGGCAAGCCTAGTTTGCACATCATAAAGTTCCTCGTACCTTTGTTGCAATTGACATTGAAGGTGTCTAATGATGTCCGAGCATCCAAAAACTGGGAACCTTTTTCGTATATTAGACTCAAACTTGATAGATGTGATGAAGTCCTCCTTTTCATTCTCATCATTCAACTGATTTAATATCTTCGTAACGTTGCGCACACCGAAAAGACGGTGCACACTATGAAAAATCTCCGATTGATTGGCCGGAAAATATGGCGCAAGAATGCAATCTGAGGAGCATTTTCTCCTTTGAAGTTTGCATGCAGCACAGGCATGCCTTGATGTCATGTTTGGATCACATGCAAGGACTAGGAACACTGCAAAGGGTAACAAGAATGGCTTCATTGATCATCACCAAAATCTATGATTTATTGGAACAGAAAAGACTTGGTAAAAGTTTAAAATCTCAATCAAGAGATTGAACATTGAAGTTGTTGGGATTCATATATATATATATATATATGTTCACCTGTCACAGGAGTCACCTCCTACAAGGGGTTATTTGGAAAAGGTGTTTTTGGTTATTTACTTTTCATTTTGGTTAAGTAATCAAAATGTCCCTGTAATACTTGTGTTTATTGTGACAAGTATACTTCATAGAACTGTCCATGACATCTAAGTGAGTTAATTTTTCTTATTGCTTTAATGTTACTATTATATATATATATATATATATATATGTAATGCACAAATTTTTTTTATAATTGTGATTTCATTATTCACCATTATTTCTCAAATATAAAGCTTATAAATGGTTAGATTAATTATAGTGAATCTCATATGAGGGGCACATGAGATGATGTTTCTATGTATAAAGGAAGGCTTTTTAAATGGCAACATAATAAGTTTGTTTTATTCTGATTAACTTGGTTCTTTTAGGATTTTAGTGATTTGATTTCAAAAGAGGAGTAGATCGATTTGTCTCTTTGGAAGAGAAAAAGAAAAATCAAATTCAGGGCAATTACAATTTTGGTAATTAACAAGATAGTAATCATCTTTGTGATCAAACAGATAGATAAGATTGGCTTGATGATCAATATAATCAAGCTGTTTATAAGTTCTTTCTATGAGACTGCAGATATGTTTCCAAATTGTACAATACATCTAACTCTATTTTAATTCAAAATACACTATTTAAATGTGGATAATTTGAGCAATTTTGCAACAAGAG